CTTATCCCTATCTTCCTTCAGTTCTTTGATTTGTTTGTGTGTTCTTTGAATTCAGTGAATTCTTTTATCATGTTTATAATTGTTCTTTTGAGTTCTCCATGTCCTGCATTATCTCTCGGGGGTTCTCATTGTACTCCTCTAGAGGATTATTGATATTTGGTGGGGATAGTTATTTTGGTTTTTCATGTTATTATTTTTTCTCTGTGATTTTGACATGTGAATTTCTTTTGTAGTTTCTGATTCTTGTGTGAGACTCAAGCCTTCAAGTTTAGGTCTGCTTCTTTTTGTGAACTTTATGTGTCTTTGTGATTTACTTTTTGGGCATGAAAAGCTGGTTCATCTAAGCTTTGGGTTCTCTCTTTTGATTTTATATTGGAGTGGCTGGATTGATTTTGTCTTCAGGAGTTCCCACAGAGGTCCAATTCAGATGAGGGTCAGATAAGTTTTCAAGCTTTCTCGTAAAGTCTGGATCCCTCCGGGAAAGACTCTGTCCTCAGGAATTTGGGGGTTGGAGTGGCCTGGGAGCCTAGCTCAGGAAAGATGCTGGTCTAGGGCAGCTGGTGGCCGTGCCACTCAGAGATGCAAAGGCACATCGGGCAGGAAGAGGCCTCAAGGACTCCTGGGGACTGCACTGAGGAGCTGGGTTGGTCTTGATGCAAAGGATCAGGAAGAGGAAAGGTCCACTCCTGCATCCCAGAAAGAGGCTGGGGGGTGGTGCAGGCCCAGGGAAGCAGAGGGAGGTGAGGGCGGGGCCAGGCCCAGAAGCAGTGCTCCTTGGGCCCCAGAGAAGGCACTAAGATGGTCTGGATGAAAAGGATTAGGAAGCAGTATTGGTTTCCCAGGTGTCTGGGGTCCCAAGACAATGAATGGGGCTGGGACCAAACTTGGAGGAGAGAAAGTCCGGGGAGATGGAGGGACGATTGGGACTGGGGGAGTCAAGGCTAGAGGGTGCCATGGACTTACTGCAGAGAGAGTCCTGCGGGTAGGAGAGAGGTCTGCAGTGAGTGGTGCAGGCCTAGGGAAGCAGAGGGAGGTGAGGGCTGGGCCAGCACCACATGGTGACCATCTTTTGTAACTCCCGTTCCAAGAGATCTGATGCCCTTTTCTGGCCTCTGTGGGCGCTGCATGCATGGGTACACTCACATGACATGGAGGCTGAACACACAAAATAAAAATAATATTAAAAAATTGTTTTGCAATAATATATGTCAGAATTGTTTCAGAAGAGAGGTTTTTTTTTGTTTGTTTGTTTGTTTGTTTTTTTTTTTGGCCTTTTTGAGTCAGGATCCCCCGGTAGCTCCAGCATGCCTGGAACTCACTTTGTAGACCAGGCTAGCCTTGAACTCACGGAGATCCACCTGCCTCTGCCTCCTGAAAGTGCTGGGATTAAAAGTGTACATCACCACACCTGGCTCAGAATAGAGCTTTTACAATAAATTTCACATCCGAATTTCTTCATTGCAGCTCCTTGCATGTACCTCATTTTCATCATTTGAAAATATGTTTTTAATATCTTTAAAAATGTTAACATCCCTGGGCATGGTGGCGTACGCCTTTAATCCCAGCACTTGGGAGGCAGAGGCAGGTGAATCTCTGTGAGTTCAAGGCCAGCCTGGTCTCCATGGTGAATCCAGGACAGCTGGGGCTACAGGGAGACCCTGTCTCAAAAAGAGAAAAAAAAAAATGTTAACATCTACAGACTATTTCAGAGAAAACACTACTTGACTGTTTGATATTTGAGAATTAAAATGCACTTTATTGTTTTGTTATCAGAAGAAGAAGAAGAAGAAGAAAATGAGAAAAGACAGAGACTTGTGAGAAAAACACAACAAGAGGCCCAGGGTGAAAAGGTACGGACAGCATGGCTGTTAGAGAACGCATGTGTCTGAGCGTCAGCATCAATCTCTTGCTTTCTTTACTGCACTGAGATGTTTGAACCGTTACTGATGTTAAAGTCACTAGCGTAAATTGCATACATATTCTCCCCTTTTGAGATAAGGCCCCATGTATCTCAGGCTGGCCTTAAACTCAAACTGTAACTGAGGAAGTCCTTGAACTCCTGCCCTGCCTCCTGAGTGCTGAGATTATAGCCATGTGACACTATGCCCAACACTGACCCTTCAACATTAAAAATGTTTTTTAAAAAAATACTTTATGGGGCTGCATAGAGGGCTTAGTGGCTAAGGGCACTGGCTGCTCTTGCAGAAAACCCAGGTTCAATTCCCAGGACCCACATGGTGGCTAAGAACCATGTGTAACTCCGGTTCCAGGGGATCTGACTCCCTCTTCTGTCCTCCATGGACACTGCATGATACAGGTGCACTTACACACATGCAGGCTCTGACCATGGGATCTCGTGTCCTTTCCTCTTTTAAAAAACATTTTTTGATTTGTTTATTTTTATTGTATGTTTATGAGTGTTTTACCTGCATGTATATAAGTGCACCCCTGTATGCAGTACTCACAGAGGCCAGAAGAGGGCACTGGATCCCCTGGAACTAGAGTTATGGATGGTTGTGAGCCACCATGGAAGTGCTGGGAACTGAACCTAGGTCCTCTTCAAGAGCCACCAATGCTTTTAACCACTGAGCAATCTCTCCAGCCCCATATGTCTCTTGTGCCATTTCTTGGTGTGTGGAGGGCCTCAGCTTGCTTCTTACTGACATCCTTATTGGCATCTTATTGACAGACAGCCTTTAGCTATAGTTGTCACTGCTCTTGCATATAACTCTTTTCCACATATTTTTACATTATAGTGTTTTAAGCAATGATAGAATTTGGGTTCCATTTTTTTTTAATGATTGTTTTAGGGAGATTTCATCTTAAAGTCCCTCCCCTCCCTACCCCCCTCCTTCCCTTCCCTCCTTCCTTCCTTCCTTTTTAGAGACAAACTCTTAACTATATTTCCTAGGCTGGCCTAGGCTCAAGTGACCCTCCTCCCTCAGCCTCCTGAGAAGCTGGACAACCAGGTGCATGACCACTATATCTGGTTTCCTGGCTTTTTGATCCTTAAAGCATTTTGTGTTTTACCATGATTAGGCTGGACATCAGCACTGTTCTGAGAAGGAATGCTTTGAAGGAACCGCTCACATTTGTGGCTCCTAGAAGCCAGGGACCATGTTTTATGCCCCTTTGTGTCCCTAGTTTCTAATAAGTTTCTGTTGCAGAGGAGACACAGGCCACGGAGGCACAGTGACCTGTGAGCATAAGGATGGAACACTTGTTTTTACTGCATTATATACACATGCACATTTTAGGAAGTGATAAAAAAATGAAAGCTGTTGGTTTTCTGGGCAAAATTCAATTAATAATAAAACAGTTCTAACCTGGTTTTTGGTTTATAACTTTGTAGGCAATGTAAGTTTTAGAAACACTATTGATGACATTTACTTTGTTTTCTTGAGCAGGCCAGCAGATATATAGAGAATGTTTTAAAACCTCAGCAGGAAATGAAATTGAAAAAAATGGAAGAGCACTTTTATCAGATGACAGGAGAAACCTGGAAGTTAACCAGCGGTCACAAACTTGGGGTCAGAAAAACTCGTTTCATACTTTGAATCCCGTGTGTGTGTGTGTGTGTGTGTGTGTGTGTGTGTGTGTGTGTGTGTTGTAGTGTTTTATGCTTGTGTGTGTCTGGGTGCACACTCACCATATCTCCACATGCTAGACACTGATGTCTGGTGTCTTCTGCTATGGCTCTCCACTTTACTTTTGAGATACAGTCTCTCATTGAACCTGGAACTCACCATTTCAGCTAAGATGGCTGGCCAGGTTAGGCTCTGAATCGCCTCTCTCCCCCATAACCCCAGTGCTGGGAGTCATAGGTGTGTGCCACCTTGCCTGGCTTTTATGTGGCAATCAATACTCAAGTCCTAGCCAGGTGTGGTGGTGTATGCCTTTGCTCTTAGAGGCAGATGGATCTCTCTGAGTTCAAGGCCAACCTGGTCTACATAGTGAGTGCCGGGCCTGCTGGGGCTACAGGGAGAACCTGTCTCAAGAAGAAGATTGTTTGTGCAACAATCACTTTACTCTCTGAAACATCTCCCTTGCTTCCTTTGTTGAAAGGAAGAATGGATACCATTCAGGCTTGTCTTTCTTTCCAGCTTTTGGAGAAACTCTGGAATACTTGTGGGGCAGAGAGGCAGGAAAATTCCTGGAAGTTCCAGGCTGGCCTGGACACAGTGAGTTCCAGGCTTCCCAGGGCTACACAGCAAAACCTTGTGTCAAAAAACAAAGGGGGATGGGACTGTAGCTCAGTGGTAGAGCTTTGGCCTCGCATGTGTGAGCCCTAGGTTCAATCCCCAGAACTGCCAAAAGGAAATTTTTTTAAAAAAGGAATTTTGGGTGGCTGGAGAAATGGCTCAGCAATTATGAGCACTGGCCGCTCTTGCAAAGGACTTGGGTTCAGTTCTTAGCACCTACATGGTGACTAACAACTGTTCCAAACTCCAGTTCCAGAGGATCTGTCGCCCTCTTCTGACTTCTGAGGGCATTGCATGACATGAGTACACTTAGATACATGCAGGCAAAACACCACTCAACAACAAAAAACTCCAAAACAACAACAAAAAGATGAGCAGGTACTTGGCAGCCTTTATGTATCTGGGGGAAATACTTATCCTAGAACTGGACAAGTATTTTCTTTTTGGGTTAGAGGGGTTCCTACAGCCCCAGTTGGCCTGGAACTTGCTATGTAGATAAGGCTGGCCTTGATCTGCCTGCCTCTGTCCCCCAAGTGCATGCATTCACCAGTGCATCCAGCAGATAAGTAGTTTCTGAAACATGTTAAGCCTCATGTTTTCCTGTCCAAATAGATAATGCTTTGGTTTTCTGGATCTAATAAAGGCTTAACATTTTTCCATTGAAATACCATCAGAGCTATTAAAAAAAAAAAAAAGTAACTGTTGAATGTAGTAGCACATACCTCTTTTTTTAAAAAAAAATATTTTCTTGGCCGGGCATGGTGGCACATGCCTTTAATCCCAGCACTTGGGAGGCAGAGGCAGGTGGATCTCTGTGAGTTTGAGGCCAGCCTGGTCTACATACGAGTTCCAGGCCAGTTGGGGCTACAAGGAAACCCTGTCTCAAAAAGACCAAAAAAATTTTTTTTCTTTATTATTTTTTATTTTATATGTATGAGTGTATTGCCTGCATGTGTATGAGTGCACCCATGTGCAATGCCACGGAGGTCAGAAGAGGGCTTTGGATTCCCCTGGAACTAGAGTTAAGGATGGTTCATAGCTGCCATGTGGTACTGGGAATTGAACCCTGGTCCTCTGCAAGAGAGGTCAGTGCTCTTAACTGCTGAGCCATCTCTCCAGCCTGTGGCACATACCTTTAATCATAGCACTTGGGAGAGGTAGAGGTAGGAGGATCTCTGTGAGAGCAATGCCAGCCTCGTCTACGTAGCAAATTCCAGGCCATCTGGGGCTACTGGGAAATCCTGTCTCAAAAAGACCTCCTCCACCAAAAAAAAAAAAAAAAATGTTATGAATAAAGTAGATAGATCACATCTCAAGAAATTTTTTGTCATTCTCGACTAGGGGGATGAAGATTTGGTGCTTGAAAGTACGAGTCAGACATCTTTTAAAACATCAAACCGAGAAGCTGCAAAGAGACGGAACTTGCCTAAGCTTTTAAAGGAAATTTCACCACCTGCTGAACAACCCTGGAAGAAAGAGGTTCGTTGCTTAACGCTTGCTTGCTCAGTTGGATGACTATAGCAGGAATGTGGTTCTCTGGGTGAGGTGGGGTCCTGGGGGTGATGAGAGCCGGCTTTGAACCATAATGCCTTCCTACCGCATCTTATGAAGTGATCCAGCTGTGCAGATCATCACTAGTCCCATTTCAAATCAAGCTTCTGAGCCATATTGAAGATGAGTGATAGTTTAGGATACTTCCTTTTGAGGAAGTTATTGGATTATGTAGAAAAATTTTACTATGGGACTTTCCTTTGGGTCGCTAAAAACACTGCTGTATTTTGTGAGTGGTTAATACGCTTTACA